TTTTACTGTAAATTAACAGAGATGTTAAATAGAAAAATACTGTTATTTTACAGTTGTATTACTGTTTATTTAGACAGAAAAACGACTGTAAATAAACAGAAAATAAGTGGTATTTTTACAGCTTGGGCACCAGTACTTTTTACTGTAAATTAACAGAGATGTTAAATAGAAAAATACTGTTATTTTACAGTTGTATTACTGTTTATTTAGACAGAAAAACGACTGTAAATAAACAGAAAATAAGTGGTATTTTTACAGCTTGGGCACCAGTACTTTTTACTGTAAATTAACAGAGATGTTAAATAGAAAAATACTGTTATTTTACAGTTGTATTACTGTTTATTTAGACAGAAAAACGACTGTAAATAAACAGAAAATAAGTGGTATTTTTACAGCTTGGGCACCAGTACTTTTTACTGTAAATTAACAGAGATGTTAAATAGAAAAATACTGTTATTTTACAGTTGTATTACTGTTTATTTAGACAGAAAAACGACTGTAAATAAACAGAAAATAAGTGGTATTTTTACAGCTTGGGCACCAGTACTTTTTACTGTAAATTAACAGAGATGTTAAATAGAAAAATACTGTTATTTTACAGTTGTATTACTGTTTATTTAGACAGAAAAACGACTGTAAATAAACAGAAAATAAGTGGTATTTTTACAGCTTGGGCACCAGTACTTTTTACTGTAAATTAACAGAGATGTTAAATAGAAAAATACTGTTATTTTACAGTTGTATTACTGTTTATTTAGACAGAAAAACGACTGTAAATAAACAGAAAATAAGTGGTATTTTTACAGCTTGGGCACCAGTACTTTTTACTGTAAATTAACAGAGACTGTTAAATAGAAAAATGCTGTTATTTTACAGTTGTATTACTGTTTATTTAGACAGAAAAACGACTGTAAATAAACAGAAAATAAGTGGTATTTTTACAGTATTGTGTTATATTTTTAACTGTAAATTAACGGACACTACTGTATTTCTTACAGTCACATTTCTGTTTATTTAAACAGAAAAGTAACTGTAAAAAAAACAGAAAAGAAACCGTATTCCTTGCAGTTTTCTGTAATTTTCGGTATTTTTCTTGTTCAACGACGACGACATTGCCCGTTGAAATCACACTCTTTCACCATTGAGAACTGCAACAGTGAAAGAATGTGTTTTCGAAAGGCAATTTCTAATTAAAGAGTATTTGGTACAAGAAAGGTATCATTGGAAAGCTAAGTAACTATTCTTTCTTGCTATGTAAAAATTAAATCGCTCAATTCAGCACACAGCGTGACAGTCTAGGCCGGTTTCCACTCAGGATAATTTTCCAACGAATCGGAATGGAAAGGAAACTTTCCTTTGTAATCATGACATCAGTTTTGCTTTGGTGACCCCATTACAAATGGAACATTCCGGTTCATTCCTATCTGCAGGAAAATTATCCTGAGTGGGAAACTGGCCTTCAGTTGAAATTTTGTTTCGTTTTCTGAGACACTCTGTATAGAGCGAAGGAAAAAGATGCTCTTACACAAATTTAAAAGAATATTAATTGTAGCTACATATATATATATAATTACATTACACAACTAAGCGAACTATTAAAAATAAACTGGAACTATTAAATATAAATTGCAGATAAGAATATCATTAAAGTAACTTCCATTTGCTTTCGAAATCTTTAAGTCTGTTAACTAACGACAACACCTTCGGATTAACATTATGTACTTTTCCTTTTGTTGTTTTGGTACCCTTCTCAGGGTTGAGATTAACAAAACACCTAAAAAGATATGATAATTAAGGATGACATATCTTACAAATCATGGGGAAAAGGCGAAACGTTTCACCCCATGTAAGGTAATCCAGGAGGTCTTTGGATTCCGGATTCCACTCCCTAGATTCCAGATTCTACTCCCTGGATTCCACTCCCTGGACACAATCCAAAGTTAATAAAAGATTCCAAAGTTAATAAAAGGTCGGATTCCGCATTACCTCACATGAGACGAAAAGTTTTTAAAAGTCTTTCTATCAAAACCAATAGGTATGCAGAAATCTGATTTTTTATAAACAAAGATAAAACAGTATACTTTTGAATAAACACAAGGGTTGCTGCCAAACATTCCGGGTATTGAATGTTAAAGCAGTAATATGCAGCAAAAAGAAGCATAACTGCTTCCAGCAACGAGGATGCGTAAACTGCCACAGTACGGTCAATCACAATGTCTATTATTTCAGGAAAAAGTTTTGGACCTTCAAAGAAATATGGTTATCAGTTAATTACATGTATATTCAAATCCGTGCAAATCGATTTTAAATGGTCACTTTAAGACATTTAAATAAGCCACTTTACTAATAAAAAATGCTGTGCAGAGTGGTTATATTACTACCTTAAAAAATAAGCAGAAACTCAACGTTTCGAGTTTCTGCATATTTTTTAAGGTAGTAATATAACCACTCAGCACAGCATTTGCACATTGGTACTACCAACACTGGTACAGACAGTTTTGGTACACTTTACTAATAGTCATTTTACTATACTAAAATCCTAAAAATGAGTAATCATACACATAGAATATTAACAACTATTTATACAAACTGAAACAACAGTTGAACATTTTCCCACACCAGTGTAAGAACAACAATAATGTCAGGGCCTCCTTTAAGGATTTTTCAGTGGAGGGGCCAACTACAAAAAGGAACTTCAGCAAGAAAAGGAAAGGGGGGGGGGGGTGGTTCTGGGGGTTCTCAGAAAATTTTGGAATTTCTGAGCTCCTTAGACTTGATTTCCTGCAATTTCAGCATGATTTTCGTTCATTTTCAGACAAAAAGGGACTTTTACTAGGGGGGCCAAAACCCATCAGTGGGGGGGGGGGCAACACAGGTGCTGGGGGAGCTCTTTGCCCCCCCCCCCC